CCTAAGTATCCATCAATAGACGAATGGATAAAGAAGCTTCCTATCTTTTTTATGCATCATCGTTGAAATTTCTGAATGTTGGTCCCCCACCCCACCTTCCCCATAAGCCCTTTAGTTTTATTGTGCAATCTTGTGTAATATGGTGATCTTTAGGAATGCTTGTCACATGATAGCTGACTTGTTTTTAATAATAGAATCTCAATATCAAAAGACTCAAAAGAAATTGGTTCTATCCCTTATTGCCTCAGACTTGTAAAAAATCTCTTTATGACCCAATTCTCTAATACCGTGTATACTCCCCTTTCTAATGTAACCCTTGCCTGATCAACTGGCAGTTCTAAGAGGGCAAGGACAGTGTCTGTCCTGTTTGTTTTTGTTTCTCTAGTCCTAATATAGTGCCTAATACATGGTAGGTACTCAATAACTGTTTGAAATAGGATTCTATGTGAATGTAAGTACGTAATTATTTAGAGAATTCAGATGTTTGTTTTGACTTAGCAACCAGAACTGTTCTTAAAGCTGCTTTAAATATTACTTTTTATTAATACAATTTAAAAGAAGTTAGTTGATATCTGAAGTGGCAGAAACATTCTTGTTCTGACATTACAATCAGTTGCCAATTTTGTACTAGGATTCATAATGAATGTGGTAATTCAGTGGTACTAGGATTATTATTTCTAATTTTAAAAAGTTATAAATCTTGTGAATATTTTCTTAAAAAGTCATAAAGTCATGAAATATATTTGAGAAAATTCTAAAAATGAAGAGTGTCAAGTTGTCTTAAATTCAGATGAAAGTTGAAACTTGGAGAAATAACTAACATAAGTGATACTAAGCTTTCATTATGATAGAAGATAATTTGAGGCATTTGTCAAATAAACTTTAGCCAGTTATGAGAGAGATTAATTCTCTCTTTTATTTCTTAGCTACTCCTAGAGACTGCCACTTCCTTAGTCTGCACTTCTTTTGCTTTCTGATTTCACTTGAATATTTTTCTATGTTATTTAATATTTTCTAGTTCCATATTCCTTATTTAAATAGGGAAGTTTATGGTAAGGAGAATTCTCATAGTTCCTCAAAAGAACTGAGTCAATGAGTTTAGAAACTATAATTATTTTTACTGTACCTATTTAGTGTATTGAAGTGTTTTCTCATTTAATACTGAATCTCTGAATTTCACAATGTTGATTACATGGCTCAAGTTCTACTCCTACTGTGCAACTTTTTCCAAAATTATAGTCTTCATTTAATTTTCCATTGAGGTATTTTAATAGGGTGGTCTTGATTAATTTCCCTCTCCCCTAAAGCCTGTGAAATTAGACATTTCATTCTGTTACTTTAAAGATACTCTGAAATAGGGAACACTCCAGTACTAACGACAAAAACGTCTGTGTTATAGACCAAAGGAAGTAGTCATGAAATTTTAAAAAGTTTATTTATTTTGATGTAATTATGCTTTTATTTTGTTATTATTTCAAACCTATAGAAAATTTGCAAGAGTGCAAATTTGCAAGAAGGCAAAGAAACTCCCATATTGCCCTTTACCTAGATTCAACAGTTGTATACATTTTGCCTCATTTGCCTTATGTTTTATCTACCTTTCCATGCATAGTTTTATTCTTGAATCATTTGAGAGTAATTTAGGAACATTATGCCCCCTTATCCCGAAATACTTCTGTGTGAACTTCCTAAGAATAAGAACATTCTCTTTCATAACCAAAATAAAATGATCAAAGTCAGGAAATTTAATGTTTGTACGATTCTATTTTCTAATCCATAATCTATATTCAAATATTGTCAGTTGTCTCAATAATGTCCTTTATAGCTTTTTTTTTTTCCTAGTTCAGGATCCAATCCAAAATCTTGCATTGCTTTTAAGCATATCTTTTTGGTCTCTTTTGAATTGCAGCAGTTCCATTTTTATTTTCCAGACCTTGACATTTTTGAAGCAAGGGGGACAGTTGTTTTATAGATCTTAATTTGAGGTTATCTGGTGTTGCTTGTGATCAGATAACAGTTATGTATTTTTTGCAGAAATAACACAGAAATGATGTTCTGTCCTTCACAGTTCATGATATTAGGAGGTGCATAATGTTAGTTTGTTTCAGTATTGGTATGCATATATGCATTGTGCGTGAGATTGTAATATTTCCAGAATATCTCACCTGGTTTTAGTGTATCTGCATATCAACAGTTGTTCCTCAGGGGTGGAGAAAGGTTCACCTCCATATCAGTGGGTAATTACCTGGGCAACCAAGGGCTTATCTGAACCTGAGAGGTTGGGGTGAGGGCTTGCTTGCTTCTGCCTGAGCAGGAAAGAGACAGCCCGGACTGCAGTTTATAGGCAATAAGAGGGTTTTAAACTATTTCTCCCTTTGACTGATTTCAGTTTTAGAGGTATTTTGGTCCCAGGATTTCCTTTGCCTGGAGTTACAGCATTCATTCATTCTTTTCAGTGTATTTACTCCTAAATAGAAGTATTTAGGAATAAGCCTGGAATATACAGAAAGTAGATTTGAAATTTCTAGCCCCTAACAGTGGATAAGCAAACCTACTAAATAGAATTGAGTATTGCTGATAGTTTTTTAAGGTAAAATTTATTAAAAAGTGCATAATCTTAAGGGGACAGTTGGGTGAGTTTTGACAAATACATGTATCCATACTTACATCTCTATCAAGACTAAGAAAGTGTCTGTTACTTCAGGAAACTTCCTGATGCCCCTTTCTTGTTAATTATTCTCTCCATGACTGACAACTGATTCTCTGATTTTTTTTTTCCATTATGGATTAGTTTAGCCTGTTTTAGAACTTGATAGAAATAATCAAGCAGTATACATTTCTTTGTCTCCAGTTTCTTTTGTTGATATAATACTTGTGATATTCTTCTACATTATTTTATGTATTAGAAGTACATTCTTTTTGTGGGTGAGTAGTATACCATTGTATGAAAACACTATGATTTGTTTATTCTACTGTGATGAATATTTAGGTTGTGTCCAGTTTATGGATATTATAAATAAAGCTTCTATGAACATCAAAGTACAAGTATGTGTATTTTCATTTCTCTTGCATAAATGCCTAAGAGTGGAACTGCTGGGATATAGGATAGATGTATGTTTATCTTTATTAAAAAACTGTCAAATTTGTTCCATAGTAATGGTACTATTTTATGTTGCCCCTACCAACTATGAGATTTTCGGTTGCTCCATATCCTTGGCAACATCTGATGTTATTAGCCCTTTAAATGTTAGCCATTCTAGTGAATGTGAGTCCTATCTTATTTTGGCTTTAATTTGCATTTCTCTGATTACTAATGAGGTTGAGTACTTTTTCATATGCTTATTGACAATTCATATAGCTTTCATTGTGAAGATTTCAATTCTGTTTGCCTGTTTTTAAAAATTGCATTTTCTTTTTAATGAATTGTAGAAATTCTTTATATATTGTGGTACAAAGTGTGAGAAGTTTGTATTATGAATATATTCTCCCATTTTGACTTACTTACTGATTTTCTTAATATGTTTTCTATTGAACAAAAACTTTTGTTTTTCATGAATTCATATTTATTAATGCTTTCCTATCATAGTTATTGTTTTTTGTATTCTAAGAAATCTTTACCTTCAGCTCACAAAAATATTCACTTATGGTTTCTTTCACAAACTTTATAGTTTTATATTTTACATTTGGGTTTATTTTCCATCAAAGATGAACTTTTGTAGATGGTGTGATGTGCATAGAGATTAAAGTTTAGTGTTTGTTTTTCTCTGTGAAAATTCACATTTCTAAGTGTTTTTTTTTAAACAAGGGAAAACTTTACAATTGTAAAACACTAATATGATGTATTTTATGCATTGAAAGCTGAATATTTCAACATTTTTAATATAGAAATGTATATGCTTAAAGAAATGAAAATGTAAACAAATGAAAATGAGATCATTGTTTTATGATAATGTAACTAGAACCTTTTAGTATGTTTTAAAGAATAGGTTAGGTGTATGTGAAACAGTATTTCTACAGTAATAAGAGGGAAACTGAGAAGTGTTCTTCATTCTATACATTCTACCAATAAATGGTTTCTTAGTTCTTCAGATGAAATCATTATTTTTTATACAACTTCAAAATGATTTGATTGCCCTGTTATATCTCTTCTATTCATGGTCTAGTGTGTCAGGCTTTCCATTTGAAACTCCTGTTCTCAGGAGTTTATGAGCAGGCAGTTGAAAAAAAATTAACCAGCCAAAAACTTGGCATTCATGATCTTGGTTCAATATAAGTAAGGTACTGGCTTTAACAAAATTTTAAATAGTCAGCTCTTTTTAAAAGTTTTAAGTAGCACAAAGAGGAATGAAGGAATTTCTTTGGTTAAATAGATAGGAAATATTTTTCCAGACAACTTATCCCAGTTAGATTTGCAAAGCAACCTTTTCCCTTCTAGAAATCATTTAAGTATATATGTTCATATGTTCCAGTTCCCACAAAATATTGCCTGAAGACTTTACTTTTCCTTTGCTGTAGTTCATAGCAAGTATCCTCTATCCCTGTTCTCTTTTCTATCCATTTATGCTTTTTAAATTCTCTCTAGTATATTTACATTAAAAATGGCTTTAATGTCATTCTTTTGTCCTTTTTTCCTCTTTGCAGTGCCTACTTGAATAAAGCAGTATATGATTTTATACTAATAAAGCTAATAAAAACAGTATTAGCTTTGAAAGAAGTTTATGTAAATAGCAATAATTTTTCTTGAAATCAAATTTCTGAAATGCAGACTTGAAAAAACTATTCTGAAGAGCTGCTACATAAAGAGCAGGCTTTTAAGTAAGCTTTTTTCTTCTTCCTGAATGTGTGCATGTCAGTTTGAGTACTTTCACAATCTGTTTTTAACCCACTATCATTTGCATAGCTAACACTAGGTTACTATTGGTCCCTGAAGGTGTTTGTGGGTTTTTGTTGCTTTTATTTCACTTCTTATTTTTTTTAAATCATTTCCTGAAAGCCTAGCACAGACATGTAGCCTACTGCAGGAAGAAAGGTGATCTTCTGGAAATATTTTTACTGTCCTCTGAAGATGATTTGCTTCACACAGGAGATTTTTGGGTGCTGCTGAAATTCGGAGATCTGGCAAAATGGGGTAATAACATGACACCAGCTCTTAAGCAGCAACATCTGCTGTGGTTCAAAGCCACACAAAGAAAGCTGCTTAAGCAGTTGAATGTCTTGGACTGCACGGACAAGTGTGGTTCAACTGCAAGGTCTGCAAAGTAGAGGAAACTTAAAGTTGAGAGAAGTTGTTTAAAAAACAGAGTCGTGGAAGATGAGCATCTTTAAGAGACAAACATCACCTTGCCCTCCAAACTATCGAAGATCTTTGTCAGAACCTGCTTATGCAAATGCAGAGATAGGAACGAGCCTGAAGAGCTATCCGTGGTGTGCTCCAGTGAGAAGCAAGAGAAAGGAAGGTGAACATGCTGTTCCCAATCTTGGAAAGCCACTGGGTGCCTATCGGTGGCAGACGCGTCCCAGCTTCAGGTGGAAAGGTGGCAAAAACGAGAGATTGCAAAACAATAAAGGACACTTGGATGAGCCACAACAAAGAGTCCTGCCAAAGATGGCTGGTAATAATGATTCTTCCTCTGCTAACAAGGTCCTTGGAACGTCAGCAGAGAAGATGAACCTGGTCAACACCCAGTCCCTTCGGGTTCCATTCGCCAGATCTCTTTCAGAGCCAGAACCCCACTGCAGTATCAGTTTTGTGAGGTCAGTGGAGTCTGAGCAGCAAGGATATTTCATCCGTGGCATTTTCTCTACTCTTTCCAATGGCTTCTCCCGGATGCTGAGTCTAAAAGGAGAATCAACCAATGAGCCAGTAAAAGAAGGTATATTGTGATGAATAAAGGGAAGAAGGGATGGCTCAGATTTGATTACTATTGGAATTTTAATTGTGTTTGATAATAAGCCAATTTTATTTGCTCATTATGAAACAAGTTTATTTAGTACAATTTTTATAAAAATGGTGAACACTTCAGAAACCCTCTTTCAGTGAGTGATTAATAGTAAACAATGGATTTGGTAAATTAAGGAATTTTTTTAGTATGTTATGCTCTTGAACTCTATTTTGGGGCCTGTGTCAGTGTTTTGTTTTGTTTTGTTTTAAACCCTTATTTATCCCCATTGACCTACTTTTGTAAGTTAAATGCAGTTTATTTAGGGGGAGAAATAAATAATTACCTCCTGACAAAGTTGAGAATTAAAATAGAATTTCTACTATTATCTCACCATAAAAATTAACAAATATTAAGAGAACTATTTAGAGCAGAATTGTATTGATAGCTTTTAATAAATGGAAGTTTTGATTTGGTTTTATCATAAAATACACAATTTGAATATGGAAGCAGAAGATGCAAATCTTGAATTTATTCAGATGACAAAATAGAAATTCTGACAACAGAATCACCAAATTTGAAAAAATCTCACTTAGGACTTGTTTAAATTTAGAAGTGTTTTATTTTGATAGTAGCATTGTTAATGCCAAAAAAAGAGCTCATAAATTCTTATCTGATTGCCTTGGAAACAATTGACCTTACCTTATGAACTACTGTACTCATGTGTTAGGACCTATGTTTATTTTTTGTTTCAAAGACTTAACACTGAAACTCTGATAATATCTTCATCCAGTTGATGTCATTTGTGGAAAAGCTCTTACCATAAGAAAACTTTAGCCTATCTTTATTATAATTGACTGTATCAGCAAAAGTTTAGATTCTTTCTAAAATTACAGGAAATTGGTGAAGAATTTTATTGGAGTACAATTGAATTATTTAAAAAATAGAGTTGGAGAATGCAAAAGAGTGACATTAGTAAAAAATTAATTTTCCAAATATATGTGTGCCCATAATTCAGTATCTTTCCTAAACCCTGTCCTCCCATTTTCCTTTGCTCTATGAGTTTTTTAAATGTATCTATTTCCTTCTTACCCTTGGCTTATAAATAATTATCAAGAGTAAGATCTTTCTTGAGGTGTGTCTATTAACATTCTGTTAAAATTTTTGAAAGACTAGGTATTTGCATTTCCTTGGATGCTAGTATGTCTGTTTCCATGTCAGATGATCATAGGATGACATAAAGGAGTATCAAAGGAAATTAAGAGTTTAAAAATAAAGTCATAGAATCAATGCCTCTCAATGGCTAACATGCATGCAGTTGATAAAAGAAGGCTGTAGGGTTTGGGTTTTTTAAAATATTTTTGTATCAAAAATTGTGCAGTTGTAAACTTTTCTGTATTTCTCATTTTCCACATAGGAAAGAGTATGATTGGCCCAAGAGATATAAATTCTACTTCATCTGTACCAATTACCATTCGTGAAATTTAGTCTCTGTATTTCTGTTTTCACTTTTGTGGACTAGTAATTCTTTCCTCACAAGTGATAAATGAAATTTGCCATATGAATAAAAAGTTTTCTTATCAGAGTTTCTATTAATTATGGTAAGGTATGGAATTATTGGAACATAGATGTCTTTGAGACAATTTTAAGAAAATCAATGTGTTAATTTGAGACCCACTAGTGTTTGTTAATTTTCTCCCTCAATAAGAACTACAAGATGTGAGAGACATTAAATAATGTAGTATGTATTTATAGCAGTTAAAACAGTGTTTGGCAGACAGCAGTTTTCTAATACACACATATTATTTCTATTAAGAAAATGAACTTACATGGATATAGATTTTGTTTTTAAGATAGGAGGGAGAAAGAGGAGACCTGATTGTTGAGTTTGTCATAATTACCAAGAATTGTAATGTTATAGTAATAAATTCTATGAGTCCAAACTTGTGAGCATGTGCATATTCTGAGCATAAACAATTAATAATTTCTTGTATTAATAACTGAACACAATTACCCTCATGCTTAAAGCAATGAAATATACCATAGATAGGGATCCTATCCAATTTAAGAGGGAAAAGCTGAAAGTCTTCACTCTATTCTGTGTTCAGCCCTCCAGTTGTGCAATATATATTCCTTCATCTGATACAATATGCAGGTCAAATGATACAATATAAAAAATAAAACTTGTACCTCTCATAGCTAAAAGTAATTCCAACTGCTTTAGGCCCATGTCTAAGCATAGAGTCAACATGCTTGCAACAGTGGAAATAAATTGGAGCACCCAATAAGAGAGGAATAACTAAATAGATTATGAGATAACAAATCAGGTCTACATATAGTCTACATAGTCTGTGAAATTTAGAAGAAACTATAAAACTGTATATGTATATGGGATATAAACTATATTCATCTAAAGTGTATAACAGACTCTAGTAGATATTACTGGGAAGCAGTTTCATTCCCAAATTACTTTTCTTTTTCAGTAGGTAGAGATAGAAATGAAAGCTTTAAAAAAAAATTAGAAAGGAAATTACATATACCCTTTGTGGTCTCCTTTCTGGTTACAATTTATAATTTTTAATCTATAATGTTATTGTAATAAGTATATCCTCTTTCCTCAATGTTCTTTTTAAAGACTCCCTAACCTGAGAAATGGAAGATTTTATTTTTTGCTTCTAGTTAATAATCTTTGAGTATTCTCATTCAATTTTTAACATCTTTTTCAAAGAAAGTCTTATTTAAAAGGACCTAATACATAAACTCAACAGCTGTTAATTATTGAGTTTCTGAATCATTGTTCTTGGTGCTGGGAACATAGCACTATTTTATTAAGTAACTAGCAACTTCCTCACTTATTCTAGGAAATCATTAACTAAATTAGAAAAAAAACCCTCTAAGGTCACAAGGTGTACTATATATATAAACATCTATATAGTACGAGATATAATAAGTAAGTGGTAAGGTCTAGTTAGCATAAGAACTTACATAGTGCCACAGATCTCTGTCTGTGGACCTTCTATTTACTTTATTTCATAATGGGTCAACAAAAGAGAAATCTGCAAAATACAGATACCTGACATTTCTCCTAAGAACTACTGCATTCAATCTAGCTAGCATTTTGCTACCTACCTGTTGCACCTAAGTTGTCCTACAGCTGTTGATCTAGTATTTTGTCATGATATCTATGTTGTCTGTTGTTAAGCAGCTTTGCAGTTAATAAGTAAGTCTTTAAAAATTTAGGCAATGAACTGTAATACTTTAGGTGATTTACATATACTTCTATTATATTTAAAATTATTCAACATACTGATATAATTCTTGTATTTTAAATAAATATATTCTGGGTGTATTAGTTTGCTAGGGCTGCCATAACAAAACAGTACAGACTAGGTGGCTTAAAAAACAGAAATTATTTTCTTGTAGTTCTGGTGGGTGAAGTCTAAGATCAAGGCAAGGGTTGGGTAGCTTTCGCCTGAGCTTGCAGACTATGCTGGGCTGTCTTGTATTCTCACTGGGCCTTCCTCTGTGACAGGTTCCTCTATTGCCTCTTCCTCTTCTAAGGACACTAGCCCTACTGGATTAAGGTCCCACCCTTACCACCTCGTTTGACCTTAATTACCTCCTTAAAGGTCCTTTGTCTAAATACAGTCACACTGGGGACTAGGACTTCAACAAATGAAAGTTGGGGAGACACAGTTCAGTCCATAACACTAAGAAATAGAGGTGTCAACAATTATGAGGTCATTAATGTAATATATTAACATCCATTAAAACATGTTTCACAACATAATCACATAAACTTTAGAAAAATTTTGTTATGAAGTAACATTAGAAAAAAATTACCTGTATCACTTTAAATTTGTTATTTTTCTTGTATTTGTGTCATTTTGAAATGGATGTAATCAGTATAAAATATGTCTAAGTTTTTCCTTATTTCCATTTATGACTGTTCCATTCCCATCTACTGATAAAAAAGGTGAGGATATTGGACTATCTGTTGATCTACTATATTGAAATGTTGAAGTAGGTTCTCCTGGACATTTCAATTGTTTGTATTTTTTTTTCCATTACAGTTTCCCCTTATGGAAAAAAATTTTTTCCTGTTGGTTTATTTCTTTGGAGGTATACCAGGAATAATTAATTATACTTTGGAATGTGACTATCTTGTAGTTTATTCTGTATTGTAAGGTTTTCTGCTAGAAAGATATACCACATTAATAATGGCTTTAACAGTTTGTGTGTAGTTTTCCCCTATGACCTTACCAGACATGTACTTGAGCATTCTGCTTTGTTTTTTGTTTTCATTTCTTATTTGATTTTTCAAGTAGAATCTTGTTTCTTTTGGTTATCAAGTGGAACACTGAAAGATTTCTTAAAAGGAACATGTAATAGTTGTTAATAATCAGAGGTTTTCTTCAGAGATATTTGGAATTTAAGCCTGTCTTTAAAAGACTGATTAATATCAACTTTAGGATTTACCTTTGCTGGGAGAACTAAGGGGACAAGAAGGGAAAGATTAATGTAAGTTACTGGCATTGTTTTCATTAGGGGCTGAGTTATGGTTTTTCCAATTCTCATTGAAGTACAAATACATAGATAAATGGATGATTTGATTAATTTAAAAATCAGGCCATACGTGAGCCATGAGTTAATAACAACGATGGGTTATGAATGAAGAATGAAAATTAAAATGATTAAAAATATTTTAAAATCCTGGCTTTACCAATATTAGTAATGTGACCTTAGGTACATTGCTTTGTCTCTCTGAGCCTCAGTTTCCTTCTTTATAAGATGAAGTAATACCTACTTTGTAGGCTGGTGTGAGGATTAAACTAAATGTGTAAAGTCCATAGCATAGCACTTCTCAGGTAATAAAAGCCTAATCCAAGTTAATACCCAGTGGTGTTCTGGCGCCTGCTTGTGGAAGCCAATTTTGTGCATCTATCTATTCCCAATTCACATTTAGTGATATTGCAATGGTAACTTCAAATTAA